CGGGGAACATTTGGATTCAGACAATTCAAGTTTCAAGTGGATATTCCAGCATCGGACAATGTGATTTTGAGCTCGTATATGCTCTTGTACTGCAAACCTACTGGAACGGACGTTTGTCCTGGAATTGATGGTTATGCTTCTGCTAGAGAAGGAGAGTATTCTTTGGGTGATTGTGGAGGTGGATATTATGGAAACAAATATCGTATTTGCTCGAACGGCCAATTGGGAGAAATTCACTCTGAGTATTGCAAACTAAAGCCGCCCGCTAATTTACATTATGAAAATAGTGTGTATGAATTTATCTTAGATAAGGAAGTTCGTATTAAAGCTCCAACTCATAGTAACATAATCGAAGAGTTTTATTTGGGTTATGAAATGGTTCTTCCTGATGGATTATCATTGAATTCTAAGAATGGAGAAATCACTGGAGTGCCAACTGAAACGTATTATGAAAGAAGGATCACGATCTATGGAAAGAATCAGGTCGGTTATATTTCTACAACTATCACAATGACTGTTAGAAAAGGAAGATGCGAATCTGACGGAATCTTTGAAGCCACAAACGTTGGTGATGTTTATGTTTATCAATGCCCATTGGATGACTTATATGTGGGTAAAATAACCAGAGCTTGTGTACTTGGAGAAAAGGATGGAGAATGGGGCGAAATCAATGGATTCTGCATGTCTGCTTATTGGGTCCCTGTTATTGTTTTAATTATTGCCGTTCTATTAAATAGCATAGTTGCATATATAAAATTCGGCACACGACCTAAAAAAACGAGAACTAGACATCAGAAAGTGAATCCTAGAAAAGAGAAAAAGCATTTGAAAACAAAACAACCAAATTCTACAAAGAATCAAAATCATCTCTCCTTAAATCGTACTGTGCGTAAACTAGAACCTGTTCGTGTGAAACCGGAACACAGAGTGGAACCTATAAAAAAGCCTATTAATCTCAATGCTGACAAGGGAGAAGAAAGAATATCTGAGAGATCTTCTTCTCTTCCTCAAGTGATGCCAGTTAATGTGGAACCTAGAAGAGAACCCATTGTTGTCAATCCTGAGAATAAGAGAATGAAAAAACATAAAAGATCTCATTCACATAATAAAGGTTTGCCAGTCAATGCACATCATAGAAGACATCATTCACACAGAAGCCGGAATACAGCAGTCGATATACTTAACAGATCTGATTCAGATAATGAAGTGATGCGACTTAATAGTGAACCTAGAAGAGGACCCATTGTTGTCAATGTTGAGAATGAAGAAAGAATGTTCGATATGTCTGATTCTGATATTGAAGTTCTACCGCTCAATAATGAATCTAATGATGTCGATAATGAGATTAGAGTTGAAGTTGTTCCAGTTCATTATTAACTCATTTCTCAGGTAATAAACATTAGTAACGTAACAGTATAAACACATTTCTTGTATTCTCTTTCTTTTATCGAACACACTACTGATAGTTTTCGTTGGCTATGCCTATTTCACTGTTTTAGCTAAGAGTTTGACGATTAAATTCAATCCACTGTTACTCATTGATTTCTGAGAAAATGGCAACATAGTACATTGTTCCATTCCCAGATCTATTGTATTTGGATAACTAGAATTGGTCTAAGTATTAGGGGAGATGTGTGGAAGAATAACGATGTTTTGTGTTTTAATGCTTTACAATCTCATTGTTGTTTTAGTGAATTCGATAAAGTGAATGTTATTCTCTATATCGTTTACTGAATAATGTAATTTGACAGGTGACTATGAGAAGCATGAATAGAATAATGAGTATCGCTTGGAATACACTCTCATTTCAACACAATTATACTCCTCTAAATGAATCGAGAATTTACAATGATACATAACATCTCACTAATTCTGGTTATTTAAGAATCTACTTAGGAATCTACTTGTTTGGCAGAAAATAGACAATATGATGCATAACGTATGACTGTATAAAAAACACTTTTAATATAGCTGTTTATACAAAATAGACATGTTATTTGTATGCCAACTCAAATATCAAACATTCTCCTATCTTCGTCCAATACTCACTTCATCATGTTTATACAATAGACATTAAGATTGCAGAGATCAGGGAATTAATATTGTCATCGTGTTTTCAATGAAACCCAAATTTGAATTCCTATTGACCAATAGTAATTAGAATAATAGCCACATTTTGAAATCAGATATGTGTAATCAATTAAGTGCTTTGCTATTCGATTCGTAGTATGATATGGATAGAATCCGATTTATTGGAAGAATCGAGTCGATTTGAATTGACATGTGTTACAATAAGGAATATTCAAAGCCTCAAAATACTAGATTCATCACTCCCATTCTGCTTTTCATTATTCACAGCGAATAAATATAGAATACAATCACAAATCAATGAATTGTATAGTATCATGTTAGGATAGAACAGAACAAAGCAAATTGATTGACACGCTAATCCCATAGGGTTTTACTATTAATCTCATAAAAATGGATGAAAAGAGTGTTTCTATGTTCTACACTTATGAACAGCTTCGTTAATTGAAATTCACAGAGCAGAGCATCTATCCAATGGATATGCTTCAGTAGGCCATTCTGAAATCCCAGAAAAGAATAATAAGCAAAACACTGTTCAGCGATACGGAGGAAATACAAAGGAATGACTTTGAATTGCATAGCAAAATTGGGGAGGTATTTCTATATGAGAGTAATGGATAACAGTAGCATTGGAGAGAAAGAAAGGAAGGAAGGAAGCAGAGGAGTTTATTCGATTCAAGAATGGTCGAGTTGATTTCAGTCATCGATTCGAAAATAGATAAGGAAGGAAATCCAGTCAGAACGTTGTTTATCACACATAAGGACTTCAAATGGAAATCTGGTATGCCAAAATGGGGCATATGCTGTATTATGGGAAATACAACGAAAGGAGATGAAAGAAAAATGGAATATCGAATATGGCGAAGAAAATGGAAACACGGTTGTAGAAAGAATCTGATTCAAAGGAGCATTGAAAGAGGTGATTCGATGTTTCAGTGAAGATACAAGGACTGAAGTGAAGTGAAGTGAAGCCAAGTAGAGCAGATCGTTCAGATACAATGAAACGAATCCCGATCTATGCGTGTGGATTTAACTATCACGAAGTCAATGAACGCTTTGTTTGTGAAGGGAAAGGATATTTGATTGATGAAAAGACTGAAACTGCTTTACGGGATGGTACAGGGAAAGATGGAGAGGAAATGAATGGTATTAAGCTATATAATTCTGAGTAATAATTGACACAATGCAGTATTAAAGTGCAATTTAGCAACAGCCATGAGTCATACACCTGGTTCTATGCCTGATATTACAGAACGATCAATGAATCGATGGATTTGAAGATAATGAGTTTAAAAGTGACGAATCGTGTGATTATTCGAAATATCGCCACAATTAGAATAAACTGGATCTGAATCAATTGATGTTCGTAATAATTGCTTCGGATTCGTGAAAACACTCAATATTGAAAAATGAATCGATTGAAAACATTGATAATCGGGAGAAATCCATCTATTCAAGTGAAAGAATCAAACTAAAACAACGAAGAAGCAAAGAACCACTCGAAATCATATTGCATTATGAATTGTGAATCATTGGGATAGATTCAAATCGGTCAATCCAGTTTCATTGATTATGGAGGAGACTTGGGATTGAAGACTATTCTACAATAATAATAATACACTTAAACTGGTACAAATGGAAGTTGTTCGGGTAAATTTACAGTACCATTGTGGCTGGAAATATTGATCTGATATTGAACACCTGAATGATAAGAATTTCAAAATTAACAGTAATTGAAAGTATTGAATGAATTTGAGTAAAATGATTGATATGGATCTTCCATCATTACAATCCATTCGACTGGCTCAATGCACACTTGGCGGAATAAGCGATGATTTGTCAGGTTCATTCAGTTATTTCTGAATGAAATGGAAGAATATAAAACTTTACAATGTAACATTTTTTATCTGTTTTTTGGTTAAGTTTTGAATGTTCGTATAAAGTAATACTTGATAAAAAGATACACATGCATGTTATACAGTGATATTATATATATATATTCTACGTTTTCAGTTTATCCTATTTATTCACTTATAAAGTTGAATCAAATCAAAATGGATTATTGAGTTAAACACTTGTGAATGTCATAATGTTTCATTCAGAGCTGAACCTGACAAAATCTAACCATATTTTCTTATTCTGATTCAACACATAATTAGTTCTTGAGATGATATGCATTAACTCTATTCATGTATTTTCAATCGTGTCTCATTCACTTTTATATCAGTAAATGTCATAAAAACAATAAGAAGTTTCAATATTTAATATATAAATTTTCTTTATACGTCTGTGTAGGAAAATACATATAGAATCACATATATCAGTTCATTAACAAATATTCCCAACGTACATGATCTCGTAACATTTTCCTAATCACTTCTTGTATTACGTACATTTTCAATCATCCATAATATTCTCATCTTTTTTCATATATTAATTCTTTTTTCAGTGGAATGACATCTTGATTTATATTCTCTGCCTGAGATTTGTAACAAACATCTTCAATAATCTATTTTACGAAATACCGATGAACTTTTTATATTCCGTTACTGTTGTATTTGTTATTATTTCTGCAAAATTCGTTTCCGTTGTTACAGGAACACTGTCAACCAACTTAGTGCCCAACACTGATTGCATAATACCTGCAGTTTTTAATAATAATCTGTTTGATACAGGCATAAACATAACGCGAATACTATTAATCTGCCTTATCATCTCATATATATCTTCCCAAACTGATGCAAAACTCTTTTCGTATGTAACGTTTCTGTAATAATCACATCCATCATCTTCTTTTCCGTCTTCATGGTTATGAGCATCTGCTACAATTAGAATCAGATGATTGTATTCCTTGTATTCCGGCCTCATTATCTGTTCCAAGGCTCGAATCAATCCTCCTTGAATATCTTCACAAGTATCTCCTCCTCCACTTGCTTTGAAAGAAGCAAGCTTTTGTTTCAGTCGGTCAAAATCGTTTGTAATGTATTCTTCTAGCTCACCGGTTAAACTATCTCTAAAGTCCTTATATTGCACAACTTGTCCCACAATTGCACTTTCAAGAAGATGATGCTCTTTTTCAACTTTTTTAATCTCTTGTAAGATTTTTATAATGTTTTCTTTTGTAGCCTTAATATATGGACTCATTGATCCTGTCGTATCCATTACGATACTCAAGCAAAATTTTATCTGTTTGCGACTTATTTTTCCATAATCACTTTCTCGTTTTGACATAGGCTTTAATCTAGGCAGCGAGAATCCCTCCATTTTTATTCCAGATGTCACATTAAAATCAAAGAGTAAACATTCCTCGAACTCCTCGGTATTACACAACCACACTGCAGCATTGCTTATCCATCTCGCTGTGCCCTCTTCTGTGAATTCCCAAAACAGTTTGGATGCAGCTGTATCTATAATCATGCGTCCTCCTAACATTCCCTCCTGCTTTTCTCTCACCATGATTGAAGCGTTGCCTTCACTTTCTCTTGCATATATACGGAAGCCATTGTCTACAAAACTCTTCTCATTTAACGTACAAAGTGTTCTCCCCTCAAAAATGCTTACTATTCCAAAATCCAGTCGAGATAAATTGTAATAATCCATAATCTTTCCTCCAATGGTGATGAACTGACCTGCTCTCGGTGTTTCATTTTTCACTCTGATCATTTTTTTACCTCCTTGGATGGTTTTGTTTTTGTCACCTACTGCTTCAAATCCATAGAATGTCTTAAAGTACAAATCAGCTTCATAAGTAAATGGAAAGTTTTCCAGAAACCAGAATACACCGCCTCCTCTCCGGTTGAATTCATGAACACAACTCACAAAAGCATCTGCATATTGATCATTGTTATTATCACATTTCTTTGCCATGATTCCATCTCCAGGAGAACAAGTGATAAAAGTCATTCTATATTTCCCACTCATCAACTCTTTAATTGCAGATTTGTAATCAAAAGCATAATGGATGTCAAATCCCTTTCCTATTAATCCTCCGCTATTCTTATTTTTTCCAAGTTTCATTATGGGAGAATATCTTTTCCCATTAATATCTTTCCCACTGATTAATACATCCTCAGTAATATACTCATCAATTACCTTTCCATTTTCATCCTTAATACCTCGACACAAATATAGAATAATGAACAGAATCGAATATTCTGTAAAAGCTCCATCTAGACCCAAATCATATCTATTGTCGTTTATGTCTTTAATCATTGGAACTGATATTGTGTCCTCTGTCTCATCTTTGAATCGGAAATACCTCAATGTTGTTTCATAAATACTAGGAATATTGAATAACTTCTGGGTTAATTTATCATATTTTTTATCGAATGTATCAAACATCATTATATCATCGATTATTTTGTCTGGGACTGCATTCTGCTTTCCACTGATTGAAGCACTAGTTAAATGCATTAAAGTTTCGGATAATCGAATTGGATTTGAATTCCAAATCATTGTGGGGAACAAATCTTCAAATCCACACAAATACAAGCCAATTCCAATCCCAAGATAGGTCATTTCGATCCCACTCACAATCGATTTGATTTCTTCTCTGGATTCATTACATAGAACACCATTTGTTAGAATCATCATTATAGACTGGAATGATCGAGCATTACAAGTGCTACAAGCATAGCGAATACAATCAGGCAAGCAAGTATTTTGGCAAGAAGTTTGCAAGCTTGAATACAATCCAGCCACAGTATTGTTTTCCCACAAATCCATAGATGATATTCCTGTAGCAATACGAATGATTTTAGAAGAAGCCACCCACACATCAATACAAGGCAGTTGCATATTACTCAGATTTCGAAGGATGGAAAAAATAGTGATCAATGAATGAACTCGGTTTGTTTCACTGAACGCGATTGAAGAGCAATCAATCACAACACTTGCATTGTAATTTCGAATCTTTTCACCTCCTGTTCTATTAAATATCTTTCCATCTCCAGTTTTGCCAATCACATTTTTGATATAGTTTGTCATATTAAGCGATGTTCCTGAAGTGGATGCAATTAAAGCTGTCGACTTATTAGGAACGAAAAATGAACGATCCATCGCCTCAAATAGATTATCACCTTGTATTATTTGATTTAGTTCAGCAAAAACTTGCATGTTGTGTATAGGATCGGGGTCAACTAATAGATCATTATCCGTAATATTCACCAGATTTACTGGTTTTGTGCTTGATATTCTATTAATCGATATTATCGACTCATTCTTCGTAAATTTCACTCTCAAGTCATCGTGAAAAACGTGATCACTCATTGATGAAGAGCATGCATTCATTGTACTATTCATTTCCAATTCATGCTTTTCATAGAACATATCAATTAGAACAATATTATAAGGGTTTTCTATGTCAGCTATTCTTTCTATCACCATCATATTATCTTCAAAATTAGTTTTCAACGACATTTCAAGGGAAGGTTGATTTAGTACATTCAGTGCTTCATCATCTTTACCTTTCACACACAGCAAAAACAGATTTCTGTGTTGCCTAAATATTCTTTTCACTTCATCATGTTGAGACATCAATTGTTCACTAAAGCCATCACTTATTATCACTATTGGATCATGAACATTGAATTGATCTGATACTGTCAGTAAATCTAATGGAGTTGAAGGCATTTTCACCACTCCTTCAATATCAAACAAAAACGATATGATTTCATGAACTGATCGGTTTTCCATAGAAACACATACGCCTTTGTATCTACCACATAACACATACAGATTGAATAAAATGCCAAGTTCTTTCATAACTGTAACAATAATAATGGAAATAATTGTTCGCATTCGGAGCTTATTCTTTCTCAAACTACAATTAGTATCGATGATAATATTAATTGTTGAATGAGGTTTTCTGTTCATACAACCTATCCCCTTAAACCATTCAATTATTCTAATGGATGCACTATTAACAGCCACTACAATTCTTTCCGGAATTAATTCATTTCGTAATTCAGTTTTTTCAAAAGATAAAGAGTTTTTATTACTTAATGGCAGGACATAATCAATGACCGTTCGACGCTTATATATGAATTCGAATAATTCATTCATATTCATTTTGTTAATAACTTCAAGATAAGCCTCAAAGTTCGCTGTATTTACATACATTTGATTTTCCTTTTTGTTACAATCTGATAAGGAGATTATTGCGTTGCTGACTCTCTTCCTTTTGTTTGATTTTATAATATGATCGTTGTCGAAGCAATAATTCCATCTACATAAGGATCCATGATTATAAATCAAATTCATATTACTTTCGGCAATTTTTTTTATGGTTGGGAGAATAGTATTATTCATACATCCATATAATATTGATACTATCACTTGCTTTTCTTCCTTATTCGCTGAGAGTAAAACAATGGGTAAAAATAATAACGTATTAATGAATTTACAAAACTGTTTAGATTGAAAATAATCGATAGCAGTTGTATTTTCCAAATGTAAATACTCAGGAATTATTATTTTGTTGATAATTGTTTCTTCTCGTTTAAAAATAGATACTCTTTCTTCATTCCAAATAAACGTTGTACCACATTCATAGCATGCTTTGATCATTACAGTATTTGACACTTCAACCTTAGGTGAATATAATATAGTTTCCCTTGTATTATTGATTTGAATAGTATTCTTCACGCCTCTTCTATAAACATTAATATCAACTGGTAATATTGTTGGATAAAGAATATTACTACTATTAGAGTTAGCGGCAGTATATAAATAACATGGAGCAGATGTTACAATATGATTTGGCAATGACTTCCTCTCATAACAGAAATAAAACTTTTCAGTTGCTAGTATATCATTATCTGACATTCTATATATTGTAGCAATTATTCTAACTCTCTTGTGGCCTATTCCTTTATCTTTCATGACAAATCTAAATCTATTGGAACTCTCAGTAATATCACAATCATTACTTTTTAAAACCAATTTAACTTCTTTGCTTGTTGTAAAATATGGGATAGATATTTCATTTCCATCTTCTTCGATGTAACTAACTGGAAGATTAAATGTTTTGTTTTCAGGAAGACAAATTGATGCTTTGTTTTTCTCATATATGACACAGAGAGCAATATCAAATGGAATTTCATTTAGAATGGTGATCTTTGTTTCATAAACTTGAGGGAAGAAATAAAAGGGTATTGATTCTACTGGTATTATTTCCTTTTGTGTTGTATTATCGGGCATATTTGAATTCCTTTTAGAATCTGCTTGAGCAGTGGCTATTACTCTTGATACAAGATCATCAATATCTTGTACTTTTCTTATCACTTTCTCCAGAGATCGTCGCAAAATATCTACTTTCAATATGTCTAATACAACATTTCCTAAGAGTGTTCGTTTGCGTGGACAAACTATAGCCAGCTTATCATAGATTTTCATTGGACATTCGGGTGTCCACATTTCTTTCAACAGAGAACTATGTAGAATATCATTTGGATGCAGAAGCAATTGTTCCATTTTCAATATTTCACTCGAAATGGTAGTTCCTGGTTCAACACGAGAAGGAAGATCACATTTCCACCAAACATCAACTTGAGACACTTCTAAATAGCTGTATTTGTTTAATCCATTTAGATTATCAACTGCCTCCAAAATCAATGGAACTCTCAATACAATCTCTTTGGGCTGAATGGTTGAGTAATAATTACGTACCAATTTCCTTTTTAGCTCAACACATGCTTCAGAACGGTATTTAGCTTTATTTTCAATTGAATTCCAGTATGTTTTATACCAATCTCTTTTAAACATTATTTCGATGGCTGCTTCAAAATCTTCTTGAGTTACTGCAACTGGAGTAATGAATGGATATTCGCTGTAATCCTCTAATAATCTTTCCCAATCCAAGTTTTCCATTTCCTTTTTCAGCAATACATTCAACATTTTCAATAAATGAGGAAGAAGAATTGAAAAACTCCTGAATTCATTTAATATATCTGTCACATTCAATTCCAATCGATTCAATACATCTGCATATTCACTCAATATGAATAAATAATTTTTGAATGATTTCAGTTTATAAATGAAATAAGATGTTTTTACAATGAATTGATTTGCTCTCGATTTATATTCATACTTTGTATACCTTGACTCATTTACATATAACATCAAAGACATGTTAGTCTTGCTATCAATCATCTTATCTTCAAATGCCTGTCCTTGATTCTTTCTACAACTGTATTTTGCTTCTGTAAATCTGAACTTCATTCTTTGCTCATCGTCATCATCCATATTACATTCCTTAACACACATTTTAGCAGCAGATTCGATTGTATTAAGAGTGCTGATTATTTCCTTCACATTCCATGATTTCCTTATCTCAGAAGGGAAGCACTCAATGGATCGATTCACTAACTGAATTGAATTCTGAAGATTCATGCAATCAATATACGTTGCTTTGTCTCTTAAATAGCTTTCTCTTTTTAGGACATCCAAATAGATTTCTCGAATATTGATAATTGCCCTCATCATTTCTTGTGTCAAATCACTCCGGTTACTTGTATCTAAAGACTTAAATACATTAAGTGCGAAATCAATCAATACAGTTTCTCCCATAAACCTATATAATTCATCTCTTCTATCACAGATAAACAGCAATTCCAAATATATATATTGTTCGGTTGTAGGAATGTCAAATAACTGCTTGATTGTGATTTCTTGGTTAAACATCCATTCAGACATTCTGTATTTGCTTTTTATTTTCGGATCGATCGATGAAATCAAATACCAACGACGAAGAACACCTGCATTATCTCCTCTTTGCTTTTTCATCATACAATTCTGTAGATCTTTCATTTCAAGTACTTTGATTGCACAATCCATTACATAATAAATGTAATGGTTTTCAAAATACTTTATACAGCTTTGTAATCTTTTAACAGTGTCGTCGATCACAAATGCACTCTTTGTACTTGAACAAATCTTTTCCATTATAGCAATCATTCGATTCATTCTATCAGGTTCTGACAAACTATTTACACTGCACAAATATTCAAACAATTCAT